CTGTATTAAAAAATGACTGAATGAATGATCCCCCTCACAATGGGTTTAGCATGCATTTATAATAATAATAATAAAAAAACCATAAACCTAACCTAATAAAAATAAGAAACTAATAACTTGATATACAAGAAAAATAATTAAATAATTATTTTTTCAATAAGCCGTGAGAGCTGTGACCTGCTTGTGGTTGCAATTCTAACAAAATTCCTTTATTTTTATTCTTGGTCCATTCTTTCTTCTAATTGCAAGGTTTTTATGAAAATTCCAAATAGATTCATTAGATCACAATTAACTATAAATTGAAAGAATTAATATAATAAAAGTATAACAAATTGAAAGAATTAATATAATAAAAGTATAACAATACCCAATATTAATGGAATAACTACGTATTTTTAACCATTTATCACATCCCCAACCAGCTTATTGCTAGTCCCTAGCAATCAAGGCGAATAAAAATAAATAAAAACTACTCTAAATCACTTTTGCAGAAAATCACGATCGCATTTACCATATACATCAAACTTTTAAAACCTTAAATTACCCCTAATGGACAAGTCATAGTCACGTATTGGTTTTCAGAAATGATACCCACAAACATCCAAAATTTTAAACTCGTGGTTTTTCTCTCATTTTCATGCACAAAGTTAAAGAACAAGTCATGAATTTCATAACCTTAACAAGATAATCAATTAAACTATAAGACACTAGTAACAAGTAAAGATCTCTGATGACATTCAAAATTTAAAATGTATGAAAAGTTTAGCCAACATAAATAGAGTCTTAGCCTTAAGGTGAAATATAATCCAAATTTCTTTCTGAAACATAGTTCGACTCAAATCTCACCAGTTATTGTACTCAATAAATAAATCACTCAGAATATGGTGTAAAAAATTACTCTTAGGCCTCGTTTGGAAATAGATTAATTTAGTAACTTTTTGGCTTTTTGGCTAAAATATGAGCTAAAAAAAAACTAGTATGTTTGGGATGACTTTTTGACTTTTTACGAAAAGATGTGAAAAAAGTAGAGAGAAAAGAGAATCTTTGACTTTTTGGTACAACTTGTTGGCTTTTTGACGTTTTAGTAACTTTTTGGCTTTTTGACTCAACGGGCTGGTTCCCAAATAAGGCCTAAAAAAGCCAAAAAGCCAACAACCCATACCAAAAAGTCAAAGATTCTCTTTTCTCTCTATTTTTTGTATATATTTCCGTAAAAAGTCAAAAAGTCATCCCAAACATACTATTTTTTTTTAACTTATATTTTAACCAAATAACCAAAAAATTACTAAATTAGCCTATTCCCAAACGAGACCTTAATATATGCGAATTGAATAATGTAAATCAAACAAAATATCTCGCATACTAAACTTTATTTTAAAAAATGCTAATGTGAAATAATAATTAGTCTCATGAATGGAATATCAAACATTGCGAATTAAAAATTACCACATCATCACTCCTATCCATCATGTCCACATCTAAACTATACCATTCCAAGATCAAATAGGACTTTTTGTTTTGTTGTAATGTAAGGGTTAAGGAATTATGAATAAATAAAATAAGAAGGTAAAGGTTGAAAAAAAAAAAAAAAGGATATTTGAGAGATAATTGGGATAAAATGAAACACAATTAGAGTATTATTCAAATTATGAAGACTCAAATTGGTTTCTAATGGTTAGTGAAGTAATAATAAAAGAAAAATAAATAAATAACTAAGAGGCTCAAAAAAACAAAGATGGCCTAACTTCATCTCTCAAGACTTGATATGGTCCTTCAACTTTCATGATCTCAAGGTAATAAAAGTGTGATAACAAATTGATTTATTCTCAGCATTCAACCAAAAATGAAGAAATAATGAGACTAAACAACAAACTAATGTGCTTCTAAATAAAAATTAGGAGTAGATGTATAATAACTCTCCAATAAAATGTATGGCACAAAACTCACAAGGTTAAAAGTTTCCACGATCATTATTCAAGACCATCAAGTCATATCCATTTATCAACTAAAAATCATATTCATGTGGCTAAAGTGCAATGCAATGATTTCCAAGTATGAACACATGAGATACTTTAACAAAACTGATAGCATAGCAAACTTTAACATAATTCTCGAGTAAAGGTAACAAAATTGTCACGACCCGCTCCCCGTACCCAAGGGTTAAGCATCGTGATGGCTAGTAACTGAGGTTACCTACGGCCAGTTCTTAAACAAATCAAATAATGCGAGCGGAAGTAATATTTAAATAAGAGTACCAAAATAATCATTGGAGCTTTTATTTTTATTACAAAATATATTGACCAAAAAGACCGATATTTACATATAAAAAATAACATAAAAGTGTTGTGTGTGTCTATTTCGCAGCCCCGCATCTAAGACTTTCCAAAAGCTATTTCTGAATTGCATGTTTCTTGAAAATTGGTAAACAACTATAAGCACATGGCAGAGTGAGAAATATTATACCAAGAGTATAAGGGACATGAAATAACCATGGATAGTTAGTTAGGCCAAAACATTTACATAACTCAGTTTGGTAAATAAATCATTAGTAACCAAATCATTCAAGTAGCAGAAACTGAAATACATATATTATGTAAATATATAACCACAACTGAGATTATTTTCATTTAAGTGGCAGAAACTGAAATACAGAAATTATGTAAGTAAATGACCATAACCACGGTACAGAACAGAACGTAACAGAGGTCACAGAAGTGACAGTCAGAACAAAGATACGGATTCAAGAGGTGGCTCGTACGGATTCTAGAGGTAGCTCCCACAATAGTGTAGCACTTTGGTTCGCACAACACTTTGGTCCGCACAGAACAGAGGTATGGATTCAAGAGGTGGCTCGTACGGATTCTAGAGGTGGCTCCCACAATAGTGTAGCACTTAGCTCCGCACAGCACTTTTGTCCGCACAGAACAGAGGCCAATGGTTATTTAAGTCCCCCAAGGCGTGGGACTCCCGTGGTGGTACTTACAAAACATAATTGTCTATAAGGTCATAACCAAATACTCTTTAAAATATAAACACACATATCCATGGGTTTCCTTTTAAGCAAATAGGGTTCGGAAATTAAACCACGTAACTGAAATAATAATATAACTTAATATAATTTATAAAACATAACTTGTATAAAATAAGTATGGTAAGTCAAAACATACGTAAAATACACTTTGGTAACTCAAGGTATAATATAACTCACCTTAACTTTAATATCTTACTCTTTCTTTCCACTATCAAAGACCCTTTTAGCTTCCACTATTTTTTCTTCCTTTCTTCTCTTTCACTCTTTCTTTCTCTCCTTTCTCTTTCACTCTTTCTTTCTTTCTTTCTCTCCTTTCTTTTCCTTTCTTTCTCACCCAGGCGAATCAACTCCTCCTTAAATAGGGAAGAGGAACCATTCTCTGACCAACACGGGCCAGGTCCAAATCATTCCGCAGATTCGTTAATAAATTCATAGGTTCATTTTTATCCTTAATAGATATTTAAGATAATTATCTTTTGATCTAATATTTTAATATAATTATATAAATAAATTAATTCCTAATTAAATTACACTTTATCATATACTAACAGAAAATTAATTATTTATTTATATTTTGACCCCTAAAATTATATTGTTTTACAAAATTAAGCATAATAATATATAATAAATTACATATTTTTCAAACTGAGATTAAATAATATTAGTATAAATTCTACAGAATAATTAAAAATCTGAGTTGTTACAAAAATATCATAACCCAGCTCAATCACTTAATACATAGAACAAAAGAAAACCATGAGATTTATTTATTTAAAAAAAAAAGAAAAAGAAATTACTAACTCACTGAGACAAACAAACATAGAAATTATCCTCAAAATAATTAATTCCTCCCCCTAACCTAGACGATGCCTTGTCCTCAATGTAACAAAAATAAATTGAAAAACAAAGAGAGTTACCTCATCACTACAAGAAATGTCACTTTTGGCTACCAAAATATTAGTCGCCAAAAGTCCAATATTTAGTCGCTGAAACGATTTAGTGACTAAAATATTTTGTCACCAAGCTCGTCGCCTTTACCCTGTCGGTGATAGCATTGGCGACTAAATTTCGTTTGGTCGCCGAAAGTGACTACATTTGGCTACTAATATTAGTTTAGTCGGCAAATGTTATGTTTCCGCCACTAAAACCTTTAGTTGCCGAATGAGACTTTTTGGCTACTAAGTTGTTGTGGTCGGGGAAGGTGTCACCTTCAGCTACTAAATAATTAGTCGCCGAAAGTACACATTTGGCTACGAAATTGTGTTTAGTCGGCAAATGGTGCATTCGGCGACTAAAGTGTTAGTCACCAAAAGTGCATTGGGTTATGTTTTTGCTACTAAATTCTTAGTCACCAAAACATTTGACAAACTTATTTAGCTACTAAAACATTTGGTGGCCAAATACTTTAAAGTGTTTTTTTTTTAAAAAAAAAAATTTCTAAACAACTTGTATCTATTATTAATACAACATGTACCCTGTATAAACAATATAATCCATCAACGCTAAATATGTTATCAAGCATTCAACAACGTGCACACATTTTAGTTCCAACCATCCAAAAAATTAATATTGAACGTCCAATTATATATATATTACAAATTCCATAAGAACCAAGTCTAATCCAACGTCAATAATGTAATTTCATACATAATACAGGAAAAACCAAGTTCCAACCATCCAAAAATAAGTACTAATAAGTACAAGATGTCGTCCTGGCATCACTATAAGCTCCCATTGTTCGAGTCCTTCCATAAAACCCTTCGATATTGTTCTCTTACTTTTATTGAGGACAATATGGAGGGAAGGTTGCTCTTCAGTCCTTCCATAAGTACAAGATGTCGTCCTGGCACCAGAGTCATCTTGCTCTTCAGTCTTGCGACTCAAACTTCCAGGCAACGATGCTGGATTGGTAGTCTCACCAAAAGAATCATAGGCTGTCCTACGGTCATTCTGCTCCTCTAGTCTAGTTGTGGCTGGTAGCTGGGAAGGTGGTGGTGGTGACCGGCTCTTTCATTTTGACTTTATAGATAGCGTCCTTAATGTGCGGTTAGTGCAGAGCAAGATCCATGGATGGCCTGAAAGGAACATTGATGAGCGAAAAAGATTAGCATATTTACAAACAAATTCAAGATTAAGTCAAGAAAATGGTACGGGAAAAAAAAAAGTGAATGATAAAAATTGATATTTCTAAACATTCAGGTATTGTTCTAGGGCACTGGCATGCTCAAGAGACAAGCCGAAATTGCATTGGCAAAATGGTTAGTCAGCCATTATCATCTCATACTCAAAATCTTGTGTGCGATAAAAACGGCTGTATACAGCTTAAAAAAATAAAAACACCAAGAATTAGAAACCCTATTCAGAAATTTGACCAGTATAGAAAACTTACTTAGAACTTCATCCGCTGTTATCCTTGTTGCAACATCTCTTGTAAGAATGCGCTCAATCAGATCCCGTGCAACTTTCGATATAGACTCCCATATCCCGGTGTGGAAATCAAGCTTCATGCTCTTGATTGCTTCGAAAACTGCTTCTAGTGAGTCTCCTTGAAATGGGAGAAGACCAGTCAAGAGAGCATGTAGAAGGACACCAGCACTCCATATATCAACTTTCTCAAAATAATCGCCCAGGAGAACTTCTGGGCCAACATAAGCAGGGCTCCCAGCCAAACCAGTCAATCTCTGACCTGCAATGTAATGATTGCAATGTTTCATAAACAAGAAGGAAAGCAATCCCAAAAGGCAACTACTAAAATAATAAAATACAATATGAGACCACTAGAGTGGATTTATCAGAATTCCACTTAAAATCCAGAACATTAGGCGATTTCTTTCTTTAATCAATTGTTACAATGTACCTACAAACACAAACTTAGGTGTCATGTTCTGCAGCTTAGGCCTGTGTTTGGCTCCCAAGAAGACCAATGGTTCCCACAAGGAAGAAAAACACAGGCTATTCGATGTGGCTAACTCTTTTTAAAGCTAAGCAAAAACCAATTCCTGGATAATGAAACTGTTCTTATAATTTTACAGATTTTAAATTTTGGAAGCCTCATACAAGGAATCCAAATAATCTTAATTCTGTCACACTATTATATCCTTTCTAAGCACAAATGGTGGAATCTATTGTCATCTTCTGCAGATTACTTTAGCGTAGTGTAACTTTGTAATGCTGAAATCCTCTGTATCTCACCGCTATTACATTTCAGTTACACATTTTCCTAAAGAAAAAGAACAAAACACACAAGCTATGGAATTTGAGGCACCTTATGCTGGTTAAAAAATTCCACATAATGGGGAAGAACAAAGCTCTATAGAATGTCTTTGGTTGAGTGTTATTTGCAACCAAGCCTCCATCTTAATCACCAATATGCCTCCAAGTAACCAAACAACGTCTAATAAAACTAGAAGACCACAGGCAAAATTCTTACGTTAGGGAATGCACTAAAAACTATGTTAATAATGAGTATCGTATCCTTACAGCCAGCAAGTATAGGTAACAGACCATCACATACAGCCATGCTAAATGTTAAATTTGTTTAAAGAATCATGGTCTAAGAAATGATCACTCCATTTGAGAGTTCAGCATGCGTCAGACCAAATAACTTCGCCATTAAGATTTTCAAATGCCTTTAAACTGATATACTTCCAAAAATATTTTGAGAAAGTCAGACACAAGGCAACCATTCAACAATAAAAGTTGATTAGGCCAGCAAAACCTGTGGGCCCCAATGATTTTCATAAAAATGTATGCTCACACCTTTTTGGCTCTTTGTACTAACATAGGAAAAATGATATGTACTGGGAGACACAAAAAGGCAATACACATATAGGACCATTATGTACTTCGTCTCATGATCTTGCTATTCTTGATTCAGTTGGTAAGAAGGAGAAGCACCTGTGAAGAATATCCACCATTATCAATACCAAGCACCAGGCATTACACAAACTAGCCATAATTAAAACATAAAACCCTTAGACCATTTACAAAGCTTTTTTATAACAAGTTTCTATTGGTAGCTTAGTATCCACCGAATCATGTCAAATTATATCACTAAATTTCCAATTACAGGCTCCAACAAATGATAAGAAATTTTCCTAATTGGAAGAAACCACTCAAAAATAAATAAATAAATTGCAAAGATCTAATAAGTAAAGAAACAAAAAGATAAAAAGGTCCATATTCATTCCAACTTCTGGTGTTCAAAACTGCAGCAAAAAGAAAAATATTTAAGGGCAATAAAAGTAAGAGAACAATATGGAGGGAAGGTTGCTTAGATAATGTGGTTTGCACTGGTATCAAACAAATTATTGAGGAAAGTTATTTATGGAAACAATAAAATAAGTAGTTCATGATACAGCAAAAATACTTCACATCCCAATTATTTACTGAAGGATCAAAAGGTTGGTGACAATATGTGTAAAAAAAATGCAAGAAGCCCCTATATGTTCATAATTCGAGGAACTTTCCGAAGCTCTCTTTTCTGACTCCAAAACAGTTACTTTATCATCTGCCAACATGCCAAATGTAAGCCGTACTAAAACTTAAATTGAAAGGAAAACTCATTCACACAGAATAATATGAATGAATTATAACAGGGTATGCTTGTTAATGTGACTAGACCTAATCTCGGTCATGATGGCCGAAGATGATGGCATAGACAGCTGAATTGCGAAAAAAAGTACATTAAGCCAACAAGAAGTAAATAAAATAAAAAGCCTTAATGAGTTGAGTACGCATTTAACAGGTTCAGCTTTATCATGTGTTGCCAAGACTAGCATATTACAAGCTCGTAAGACTTTGTTTTAATTTCACCTCAACGCATATATTAATGTCGTGAATCATGATGAAATCAGTCCTAATCCAAAATCCAAAACCAATAAATTGTTTGTCACTCCTATGCATGTCTACAAAACTTGCCCAACCAATAAATCATTAAATTGCTTGTATATAATAGAATTTGAAATTTTCATGACGAATACATACACTTCCCCAACCAATAGAATTCCCAATAAAACTTTGTTTAAACGCTAGAGTTGAACTACACGAAACTAATGTTTTTAAAACATTTAAACTTTTTTAAAAGTAACTCATGTTAGATCATGGTTCTCATCTCATCATTGGGCAAACCAAAATTCAGAGTACATAATTATAAATCAATTGCATTTCCATATAGCATTGACTGAAGGCAAGAATTGAATAAGCCATTTCTTTTTTAAACCATTGAGATAGCTCAACTCTTGCAATTAATAGTTCTAAATTTAACACTTCCAAGTTCCAACCACTCAGATAAAGGCTAAAAGGAGCAGTACCAACCGAAAACCTATTTTAGAATTAACTACAGAGGGAATAGAACGGTGATTCCATAGGCTTTCCTATATAATGACAGTTCCTTAAAATTAGTAAACCATGATTCCATTTGTAATGCATTTGTCATAATTTTTTTAAGTCTAACCAAACATAAGAAAGAATATTTAAGTCTCTAATAATCATTTCATTCCAATGAACCAAACACTATCTAAGTCTCTAATAGATTATCTACAAATTATGAATTAAATTCACATAATCCATTGTTTTTGCAATTTGTTTACAACCCAATCTCCTCATCAACACATTGAATAAATTTGATAAATTCAATCCATAACCCACAGTCAGCCATTCATTTTAGCTGGGCAAATTCAAAATGAATGAGTGCATTGAATCCAAAAAATCAAAATTTCATAAATCAGAGAATTAATAGAAAACACAAACAGATAAAAATGAAGCAAAATGGAAAAGAGTGAGAGCTAAAGTAGTGTTCTCACACAGAAGCCGGTTTTGACCATGAAAAACTCTATTGAACCTCCAATCATCGCCGACACGACTGATATCTTCAGGTACCAATCCCAAAACTTCATTTCTCTATTTCACTTCTTTTTCCACTGAAAATTTGTACAAAAATGAGCAATTAGGGCAAGTTGCTTTCAGCAATTAACAATCAAATAGCCATACTCAAACACATACACACAGATGATCAGAGAAAGAACTGAAGAGATGTGAAGCAGAAGAAAAACACAAACCTGAGATAAAATTAATGGATTAGAAAGCATACCTTTTGACTATTTGAAGAACCCGTGTGTGTGTGTGTATGTGAAGTTGTATGGATTTTTGTAAGTGAATGGTGAAAGAAAGAGAGACAGAAAAACAGAGCTGACAAGGAGAGAGAGGATCTCAGGCGACGGTGACCAACAAGGAGGTGAATCGGTGCTCCGGTTGCCGGCCAACGCGAGGAGGACCGGCGGTGAGAGTGGAGGGGAGAGGAGCGGCGGTGAGGGAGAGGGAGACGGAGAGGGAGAAGGACGCTAAAGAGAGAGAGAGAGAGAGAGAGAGAGAGAGAGAGAGAGGCGCTATTAATGGTTCAGGGTTGGGTTTGGTTTGGTGAGAGCATGAGATGTTTTATATAAATGGTCATTGGCGACTATTACTTTTTGTCGTTAAAGGTATTTTATAAATCCCTCTAAATATTTGAAATGTCTCCCTCCAAAACATTTTACTTCTGTGGCGACTAAAATTCAATTTTGTCGGTGAAAACAAACTTTTGGCTACCAAAATTTTGGTCACCAAAGGTAAAAAACATATTTTTTTATTTTTCGTTTTCATTCGACAAAACGAATCGAAAAATTATAATTTTTTTCTAAAATTTTAAAAAAAAAATTCAATAAAGATAAAAATTAACAAAAAAAATAGTAAATATTTGTTGCTTATTTTGAATTTTAAATTTTTTAAAAATTTTAAAACATATATATTTCTTAGATTTGGCTCGATAAAATGAATTGAAAAAATAAAAAAATTTAAAATAAAATTACTAAAGGACAAATTTTTTTGAAAAAATAGGTGATTTTTTTAGATGTTGCCCAATGGTTCATGTGATACAAAAATAAAATTTAAAATATTAATTTATTATCTTAAAAGAAAAGAGAAGTAAATGTTACAAAGTTTTGGTAGAGATTCAAACCAATGTTTTATTCATATACCTACTACTAATGGGAATTCATTTTTATTTAATTAATAAGCATGTTTCATTTTTATTTTTATTTTTAAAAAAGAAGCTTCTTTCAATTTAATTTTTCTCATTAAAAAAAAAAGAAAGTCAAATTTCAAGTGGAGACATAAAATGTCATTGTTGTTAATCTATTCATACTGCAAAAACAAAAACAAAAACAAATTTAAGATTTGACAATCTCTATACGAAAAATTCAAAATTTGACAACCTCTTCATAAAAATTAAAAAAAAATAAAATAACTATTTTGTTTGGTAAACTAAAATAAAATAAAATAAAAGTAACTATTTTGTTTAATCATCTTTGGCGACAAAAATATGATTTGGTCGGCAAAGATAAAAGTAATAATTTGTTTTCATTCGGCTACTAAACAATTTAGTAGCCAAAAGTAGCTCTACAGCGACTAAAAAGGAATTTTGTCGCTGAAAATATATTTTTGGCGACCAAAAGTAAACAATTTAGTAGCCAAAAGTAACTCTACAACGACTAAAAAGGAATTTTGTCGTTGAAAATATATTTTTGGCGACCAAAATTTTGGTTGCCAAAGATAAAAAAAAAAAAAAATTATTTTCATTCAGCTACTAAACAATTTAGTAGCCAAAAGTAGCTCTACAGCTACTAAAATTTCTTTTAGTCGCCAATTGTGATATGTTTAGCTACTAAAAATTTTTTTAGTCACCAATTGTAATATTTTTAGCTACTAAATTTTTTTTAGTCACTAATAATCAACATTCCCCTACTAAAAAAATTTAGTAGCTAAAAACTTAACTTTTGCCGACTAATATTATTTTTAGTGGCCAATTCCGTAATTTTTGGCGACTAAATTGTTTTTGGTAGCCAAAAATGGTCACAAAAATATATTTTCTTGTAGTGCATTGATGGACACAATTAATGTTTGTTTCACAAGAACCAACACAACCTAAAATAAAATGATATGTGACATTTATTTAAAATATAAATTTTTCATTTGATTTTTAAAATTATAAATATTATGAATTATGAAAAACTATATCTTATATTGTAGTACCATGAGTCGGTCCATTATTATTTTCATAAAACATTTTTCATAATACTTAGCATTGTTGTAACTTTATTTTCTTATATGCTTAGCAGTGTAAATCCCCACACCAAGTGGCAAGTGGGCATGAGGAGCTGCACCATAAGCGCCAAAGGGACAGACTGACAAGCACCGATACCACACCTATACGTGACAGCGAGTCTATAAGGTGATGGTTAGCACCAAAACCAATACCTTTTCTCTTATTTTTTTTATTTGGGGTAGGCATATAATAAAATAAGGAAAATTTACCCATAAGTCCTAGTTTCTGAAAAGTTGAACCATTTAGTTCTAAAAGTTTTCTTATGCTCCATTTAGTCCCATTTGCACATCAATCTAATGTTCGAAACATTAATCTGATGTTCGAAATCTAATGTTCGAAACATTAATCTGATGTTCGAAATCTAATGTTCGAAACATTAATCTGATGTTTCAAACATTGTAATGGGACCTTTCAGTCTATAAGAAAACTTTTAGGACTAAAGAGTGTATAAGTTATTAATTTGGGATTTATTGGTGCATCCCCCATAAAATAAATGTTTATTAGATTATTTTTTATTTTAGGTAGGCATATAATATAATAAATAAATATTGTTGTGATCAGAACATGATAAATATTATGAATTATGAAAAACTATATCTTATATTGTAGTACCATGAGTCGGTCCATTATTCCATGGACGGTGTTATTTAATATATATTTGTTCAAAGTAGATTTCGCACTGTTGAATAAATCGGAAGTCTATGATCAAGTTGGGCTATTTAAGAATCGAGACTTGCAAAATTAAGATCACATTGAGAGTTGTCTCCAACGGAGTGGGCCAAAAAAACTCTTCTGATGCTAAAGTCTTAGAAAAATAAAATAAAAAATAAAAAGAGAAGGAAATGGAGAGAGAGAAAGAGAGAGAGATCCACATCCGTAGGGCTAGCTCGGCTAGATCCAAGCCTTGCCTCGATCATATTAATCCCTTTCAATATTTATAATATAATATGACAGTTTATGTCATGGATTAAATAATTTTTATAATCATTCACATTTATTGTTAAAAAATGAACAATGTTATGTTGTTTGCTTTTATCTTCTGATGTGAAATCACACCAATTTATGTAATAAGAGGATTGATGGGAGAACACAAGCATTTGAATAAAGTTTTCTTGTAAAGTTTTCTACCACCTGTTTACTAGTATATTTGTATTCAATAAAGTTTGAAGTAACTATATTATAGTTAATTATGGATCTTATTAATGAATATTCCAATAATATTGATTAACAAACTTCAAATGATTATACAAATTTTTATGACATACATTTTTTTTATATATAAATAATGCATAATCATTTCAAACTTATTAACAAGTGTTTTTACAGCATCTCTAATGTTTGAATAAATAGCTAGCTATTGCAACATTTCAACAATAAATTATAGAAGAATTTCTTCATAAATCCCATCTTGAGAAATTATAATCTATTTAGTCTGATGAGATTTCTTATGAACCGATTAGTCTATTGATTTTTGTAAAGTTATATTCTTTTGGGTGAAGTTTTACGTTTCTAACCTTATTCCATACATTATTAAATTGACACTACAAGAAATTTCACTTTTGAAGTTTAGTCGCCAAAAGTACGATTTTAGTCGCCGAAAATTTTGCTCAACTAAATATTTTGGCTGCCGAATTAGTCGCAGGACGGTTGTCGGGGAAGGTATTGGCGAATAAAAAATATTTAGCTGCCAAAAGTCCTATAAATGGAAACTAATATTTTTAGTCGCCAAAAATAATATTTTCGTCACCAAAAATCTTATTTTCCGCTACTAAAACTTTGGTCGCCAAAACTTGAAGTATCTACTGCGACCAAAGTTTTAGTCACCAAATGGTTTTTTTTTATATTTTTTTCATCTTATTTTTTTTTTATTTTTTTCATTTTTTTTTTTAGCTACTAAATTCTTAATTGCCTAAAGTCTGTTTTTATTTTAGCTACTAAATATTTAGTAGCCAAAAATTTTTCTCCATTTTATTTTTATTTTTATTTTTAGCTACTAAATATTTAGTAGCCAAAAGTTTTTTCCATTTTATTTTTATTTTTAGCTACCAACTATTTAGTCGCTAAAAATATTTACTTCATTTTTTGCTACTAATTGTTTAGTCACTAAAAACATGATTTTATTTTATTTTTTAATTAATTTATCCGCAACATGTATGTATTCCATACAACATGTATCATATATATAAATAAAACAATACATATATTATCAATCATTCCGCAATTAGCATCTATTTCACTTCCAACCATCCAAAAATGAATAACTTTTAATGTCAAATTTCATACAAATTAAGTATATTCCAACCTAAAATAATAATATTATTTCATACAAAACGGAGAATCATACCAAAATATGTCCTTCGTACACAAATATATTCACTACCATGCCAAATATATTCCCTAAGGAAGATATCTTTATTGCTGCGAAGTGAGTTGATAATGATGTCCATAAGCCGAGACACCTCAACCTGAAATTCAAACTTCTCTACATTACTGTGGAGTGATCTCTTCGACAAGTTTCCCAAAACCACATAAATACAAAACACGTTAGGAAAAAAAAAAAAATGGAGAGACGGAGACAGAGAGAGGGGAAGGTAAATAATTAGAAAACTCCAGTTCTCAAAAGAAAAATGTCCATACCTTCTAACAATAGATTTGGCATTTGAAAAATTGTTTGAGCATGTAAATCTCCCTCTTTCCAATTAATGTGTTTTTTTCTAGTTGCACAGAGAACGTTTAGCCTCTTGATTCTCAAACAAATACCTTAATGATTCTAGTTATGCATTCAGTCATTAAATCATGGGTTCATTAATCAGCTGAATGCAATAGCACAAATACTGGCAATAGAACCAAAGGTATAGCTCACACCACAAAATAGACACTGCTCAAAATATTTGAATTTACCATTAAGCATATATTCTTCAAATCTAGCAAAGGTGTGCTCTGATCTTCTCTTATATCAGTTGTTCCAAACTCCCCTGTCAAGGATGATTGACTGTTCAAGAAGCAGGATGTGATCATGTGATCTACGTTGGCCATTGAGGAAAAACAATGAATAACATGAAAGAACACACTAGTGCTCATCTATAAAATGGATAGTGTTCCAGGTAGCATACCTTATAACCAAGTGTTTTGAAGTTAGTAGCCTCACCACACCAGGAAAAAGGTCGCCAGGTACAAAAATTACAATGTCACCAGGAACATCTCTTTGGTCAACTCGAACACATAATTCAGTCTGAACAACTCTACCTGCACCCCTTTGAACTTTAACCGGGCATCGAACAAATTCTGAGAGCTTCATTGCTGCTTTTGAACTTCCATACTCCTGAAAGGTAGATGGAGAATACAATAAATAAATGCTTGAGAAACAAATATGTACAGCATCATTCTCATTGGAATAACTAAAGGAAAAATATACCTGGTAAAATCGGAGGGAGACGTTTATGAAGACCAATACGAGCATGATGCATCCATTGGGACTGTCACTAGCTAAGTACGAAAGGGCTGACAAAACAATCAAAATAATATTGAAAGAGTGAAAAAAGGCACTCCACAGAAGATGCCAACAGCTAGAGGAATATTCGGGCCATTTTCCTTTAATCTTCTCTCAGTTTCAATGAAGCTCAAACCTACAGGAAGGCGAACAAATTAGTATATCATTGAAGAAATGACACTTGGACTAGGTCATTCACATTGCAGAGGGTAACTGATTTCCTTTTGTAGGTCATTTACATAAATTAAATGCTTAAACAACAATGCACAACTCAGAAGTAAAATTGAACAGAAATAACCATTATCTCTCTTGTTTCCAACAAAATGTTCCTATTAAATTTTTAATAGTAATTGTAAGAGAAAATATATTACAGGTGAAAACATACATACTTGTATATGTTTTATTCTGAGTACAAACTTATAATGCATACTAACTATAGAAAAAAGTTACAGTATCATTGTTGCAACACAAATTAGAATGAGCAAGAACAAACCTTTTTTTCCTAGCTGGTATCTATTTACTGCTGGCCTACCTACTGAAAGTTAACTGGTGCCAAGGACTCCATTACTTACTTCTAACCATAAACAGTACTACATGCATCATTTAGTTTCAACTCTCCATAAATATGACATATAGGAAATCAATTAAGCCCCATCTTTGCATCTCAAGATGATGAAGAAGAAAACATGTTAAATTTGTAGCAAAGTTCTCAAAGAGAAATTTATTGTATCTAGAAAATAGTGTCAATATTTGAAACATACAAGTTAAGTAATATTTCAAATACAGTGCTCTAGGACCTAAACTTAATTAAAGTTCTCATATTGTCGAGCCAGATTGATTTGTGGTGGGCTTGACAACATTTTCCATATTTCTTTTGAATAAACCGTATACTAAAATATAAAATTAGAACTTGATTAAGTGAATGTAACAGGATTTTGGCATGTCGCTGTAGAGTGCTTTCTATTCAAGGTTACAACTGGTTTACTATTCTTCCAACAATTAAAGATGTTTCTGTTAGTAGACATTACTAATGATTATAAACTAAACAAAGATAGGTTGGTTGGTTATTAGAGTGTTCATATGCGAAGGATCACATCACAACTAGTCTTTATGCAAAGTGGTGGATCCATAAATCATAATTGGGGAGGAGCCTTAAACTGACAAGTGGTTTGTTTGGTCTTAAACTGACCTTCATTAGTTCATTAGTTTCCTAATGAATTTCCTTGTAAAAATAGGTTGTTCCATGCCTCCAAATTTCACAGCCTACAATATAAACCAAACCAAGCCAAGCCTTAAGTCCTATCAAATGGGGTCGGCTACATAAATCCTTCTTCTCCACGCGGCCCTATCAAAGGCCATTTCATTAGTCAAATTAAGTAGATTCATATCTCTATTTATAACGCTAGTCAACATTAATCTGGGCCTACCCCGTCCCCTAACACTTCCATCTACCGTTACAGTATCGCATCTCTTCACTACTGCCTCTGTTAATATCCGTTGAATATGACCAAACCATCTCAAACGATTTTCTCTCAACTTATCTTCTATCGGTGCTACTCCTACCCATTCCCGAATACACTCATTCCTAATCCTGTCCTGTCTAGTCTTACCACACATCCACCTTAGCATTCTCATCTCAGCCACACTCATCTTATCTACATGTTGTTTCTTGGTTGCCCAACACTCCGTCCCATACAACATAGCTGGTCTAATAGCCGTTCTATAAAACTTACCTTTTAGTCTAGTGGGTATTCGTTTATCGCACAATACCCCAGACGCACTTCTCCACTTACACCATCCCGCCTTAATCCTATGGGCCACATCTGCATCAATCTCTCCCGCTGTTGTGATAATCGACCCTAAATAACGAAAATGTTCACTCTTAGGCAATTCTTGGTTCTCAATCTTCACTTCTCCTCTGCTTTCATTGTTACTGTTACTAAAATTACACTCCATGTGCTCTGTCTTAGTTCTGCTTATTCTTAACAATGCAAGCAGTTATGACTCACAAGCCTTGAATAGTCTTGCATGTAGTCAAGTAATTTATTTTTCACCTTTCCCCCTTTATTTTGTCATTCATTTTAAGTGTCATTTTATTTTATGGTTTCTTTGATATAAGAGTATTTTCTTTTTTGTTTTTTGTTTTTTGAGGTACTACATGGGCATGGGCGTGGGCGTGGGTGTGGGCGTGGCTGTGAGTGTGGCCGTGGGCATGATCATGCGGATCACACGTCAATATCTTAGAGTTGATTTTTTTTATTTTTTATTTTGTTGGATATGGTATTTGTGTATGTATTATTGAAAACCTATCATGTGGATGTATTTTAATTGTTGTGTTCTTTGATCATGTAATTCTGTCACCAAGCGCCCTCCAGCAAGATTGGCACTAAAATACTCTTCCTCCACTCATCTGGCATGTTCCTAGTCAACAAAATTTTGCTAAACAACCTAGTCAACCAAGCAACTCCCTTTTTACCCAAACACTTCCAAGCTTCAATAGGGATATCATTAGGTCCTAAAGCCTTATTTGATTTCATCTTCTTAAGTGCAATCTCCACTTCAAAATTTCTAATCCTGCGATAGAACCTATAGTCTTGGTTTATCGTATTACTGATTATTTCTTCCCCTATTGTCGTACTTCCATGTTCATCATTTAACAGTTTTCAAAATAATTCTTCCATTTTTCCTTAATCTCATCGTCCTTCACCAATACCTTAGAATCCTCACTCTTGATGCACTTTACTTGATTAAAATCTCTTGTTTTCCTCTCCCGTATCTTAGCAAGTTTGTATACCCTCTTCTCTCCCTCCTTACTATCTAGTCTAGTGTATAGGTCATCATAAACTTTCAACTTAATCTCTCTCACTACTTTCTTGACCTCCTTATTAGCCAATCTATAGCTCTTAAGGTTTTCCTCAGTTCTATCCTTCTGCCACTTTTTAAAGCACTCTTTTTTTGCCTTAACTACCACTTGGACCTCTTCCCTCTACCACCAAGTTTCCTTAGAGCTGGGTCCCGTTCCTTTCGACTCTCCAAGCACTTCCCTTGAGATTCTCTTCATATAATTGGCCATCGAATTCCACATAGTGTTAGCATCACCTTCTAAGCCCCAAGTACCTTCCTTATCCATTCGATTCTTAAGTATTTCTAGTTTATCCCCTTTTAAGTCCCACCATCTCGTCCTACAACGCCCACCATCCTTCCTAGCTTGGTATTGCCCTCTAAAACATAAATCTAGTACCAAAATCCTATGTTGAGAGACCAGACTCTCTCCAGGAATCACCTTACAATCATTGCATTTTAGACAGTTCACCTTTCTCACTAAGAAGTAATCTATTTGGTTCTTAACTAATCCACTCTTAAAGGTTATCAAATGTTCCTCTCTCTTCTTATACATAGTATTGGCCACCACCAAGTCAGAAGCCAACGCAAAATCTAAGATTCTCTCTCCAGCCTCATTTCTGTCACCAAAATCGTATCTACCATGCACCCTTTCATAACCTACTTTATCTATGCCCACATGGCCATTAAAATCTCCACCTACAACCAGGACTTTTAAATTGAATTATTTTTGGTACAAAACTAAAGAAAATTTGTCTATAAAGAGGCATGATGATGGACCATTGATGTGCAAAATTAAAAAAATTAAAAATAAATAACTTTAAAAATGAAATTTTTTTTTGATAATGTTCTCAGTTTTATTTGATAGTTGAATCAAACCAATAAGTAGAAGGGCAAAAACGTTTGATCTCATGCTTTGTTTTTTTATCAGTTAGTGAAATAATTATTTAGATCATTACTATGCAAAATTGATAATGTTCTTAGTTTTAAAAATTAGCAAAAACTGATAATATTATCAGTTTTACTAAATAAGACTTATTGATTGAAAAAATCTTAGATAGAACCTGAACTACCATAACATTTGTAAATAGAACTTTTAAATAATTAACTCTTTTTTTGATTATTTGAAAAATAAGAATTCTAGAAAAATAGTATGAGGGTTTTGAGTTTTACAAGGCACTTCTCGTTAAAAATCATATTTTCCTTAATATATAGTATAGATTTATATAAGAATTGACACTCACTTTTCAAAGATAGAATAAAAATTTAATATTTTTTTAAAATAAAATTTTAAATATATAGGACCTTTTACTAATTTATAATACTTATAGATTTATATTTTATTTTAGGCAAATTACAAAAAAAAAAAACCCAAAATTTCGCATATTTTTCAAATTAAAATCCCAAAATTTTAATTACATTAATTTAAACCCTAAATTTTAAATTTTAATACAATTTAAACCCTCTGTCTATATGAGTTGAACCATTCAACGGAATCTTTTTATATAATAATACATGTGACATGTTCTTACTTAAATTAATATTATTTTTAATTTTAAATTTGACCAAAGCACATCAAAAAATTTTCAATCTTACCATAGTGTGTGAATCACACCAGATCAATTCTCTTTATCTATTCATTATCTCATCTCCAAAAATAAAACAACATAAGAAATAAAACAAATCAACTTTCATAAACAAATCTTCAATTGAATTGACTGTTAAGAAACTGTAAATTACCCAAATCAACAAAACCAAACCTAAATACAGAGATCAAACCACAAAAAATTCAGACCGAAAACGTGCAAAACCCTCAAACATATGCAGACTTTCAACGACCAAATTAATCAACAAAATTTAACAGTTTTCACCAAAATTAACCAAACCCAATTCGAAAAACTTTCAGGGTGACCAAACAGTGTGTTGAAGTTCATGGGGTTTGATACAATGTGTTGAAGTTCATGGTAAGTACGTGATGAATGGCTTTGATGCAATGGATGATAAATATATGGTGGTATTAATATGGTGTGATCATATTTAAATATAAGTTAATATTAAGTGAAATGAGTGAATAAAAATATGACACGTGTGCATTATTTTTTTTTATTATTATTTTTTTTTGTCAAACAAGTTAACAAAGATGAACGGATGGTTAATATTGATACGGAGAAGAGAAAAAAAAAATCATGGTTTAAATTGATACAATTAAAATCTTCAGATTTAATTAGAAAAACACATGAAACCTTGGGTTTTTTTTTTTTTTTTTAATTTGCCCTGTTATTTTTGTAATTCTTTCAGGGACTAAATAAATTTGAATTAAATATTTTAAGAACATAATAGATTCGATCAATAATTTAGGAATTAAATAGATTTTGATTTATATATTTTAGGAACTCAGTAGACTCAATCGATAGCTCAAGGACTGAGTAGACAATTTGGATATAATTTAGGGATATAATGTGTAATAAATCCTTTTTTTAAAACATACACGTAGTCTTATTATAGATTACAAATATCTAATTAATCTAAATTTTTTCATAATTGATTTACTCAACAAATCCAACACTATAAACTGTTCGAATCATTAAAATTAATTCGGGACACACCCTCACGGGCTCACGGCACCGTGTTGTGCCTTGTGGGCACAACACCAACCCAGATTCTGTATTTTTAACGGATTTAACTCTTTTGCATTACAATTTTTAATAATTAATATCATTTGTGGTAAAGAGCAATAAAAACATTTTTTTTTTTCCATGCCAACTATTGGTATAAGAGATTCAAGATTTAGATTTGCATTGTGGAGCCATTTCAGAGCATAGACTCAGAAGATTTTGAGTTGAAATTACATGCCCAATTACAACACTTCGTCCTCTAATGAGTTAATATGAAAAAATGAAATAAAAAATTTGTTTTGATCCCCAAAAAAATATATGTATGCCCGTCACCATGTGTTCTCCAAAACAAATAAATAATAATAATTATTATTATAATAATCATAAGGGTCATTTTTTGATAAATTCTCTTTCTAAATATTTTAATCTATCTAATCCATATTCTTTTTGAGTATTCCATTAAGTCATGTTTAATGTAATATGACCAAATCATTCTTTTTAATTTTTTGTACATGTTTTTATTTTGAAACTAATACATAACAATAATCTCTCATTTTATGAGGAAAATCTCTCCCTCATTCTAAAGAGAAAATTTTTTCCTTGTTCCATGGAGAAAATCTCTCCTTTATTTTAAGGAGAAAATCTCTCCCGTATTCTATGAAGAAAATCTCAAATTATGAATTTTGAACCACTTTAAAATTTGAAAATTTTAAAAATAATACAACAAAAAATCTGAATAAAAATCAAAATACAATTTGAATGTTCACAGTAAACAACAAACATACAACTAACTT